ATTGATGATTAGTGTGAAGAGGTTCAGTTCACTGTGAGTGGGGCCACCTCTGGGCCAGCTGAGCAAGCCAGGAACAGCAGGCCAGTAAGCAGCATTCCTCCATGGCCTCTGCATCCGTTCCTGCTTCCAGCTTCCTGATGTCAGCTTCTGCTCTGACCTCCCTCAGTGATTGGATGTTACCCAAAAGTGTTAAATGAAATAAACCCTTTCCCTCCTGAGTTGCTTTTGGTTGTGGTGTTTCATCACAGCAACTCCCTAAGATGGCAGTGTTATGATTTGAATATGAAATGTCCTTCAAAGGCACTATTTCAGGGGTCGTTGAACCTGTTGGACATGGGACCTGGCTAGCCCTCGGCTTGGCTCATCGGTTATAGCTGGCCCATGGTTCCAGCGTGGCTTTCTGCTTCCTGGTGTGGGGTTTGAGGATTCCCAAACACATGCACCTATCACCATGGCTCCAACATGCCTCCCCTACTACAAAAGACTGTAACTTCTCAAGCCATGAGCCAATATAAATCATTCCTCTTCTAAGTATTTGTCAGGTATCTGGCCTGAATGTCATAAACGTAACCAACACACAAGGTAGGTCGTTTCTCTAGCACCCTTGTATGCGGCTCTTGAATACCACTGGCTGGCTTTTAAGTATAATTGCATAAGAATTCATGTCAAAATCACTAATAATGAAAAGGTTCTTCCAGATTTCTAATCGGTCTAACAGCACAGAAGTTTTTGTTTCAATTATGAAAAGATATTAAACATTTTATATGCTAATATGTGAGGAGAAATTATTATAATTAAATAAACATTTCATGTCATAATCTGTACAACAATTTTGACAATTTTATTAAGCAATGTACATCGAATCTGAAGGAATCGTCATGAAAGTTGGATTTATCCACTTGATATCTCCAGAAATTATTATAATTCCACTTAAAATAGTCAGCAAAAGAGACAACAGCACTGTCCCATTAGAGTTCCAGCTACTCAGGAGCCTGAGACAGGATTATTGCTTGAGCCCAGTTCACGGCTAGCCTAGGCACAGAGCAAGTAAGCTCTGGTCTCAGAATGGATGCAGGCATGAATGGATAAATGAATGAGTAAACCAACCAATGAACGAAAATCAGCCCTGGCAGTCTGTGAGGTTTCACCTGTTTCTTTTTACTTGTCTTCCTAGTCAAGTAATCAAAATCTATCCTATGGATAAATATTAAGACCAGAGCAGTAGAAAATGATGGCCTACAATTTCTTGCAAAAGCCATTTTCCCCCCTATTTCATGTTGACTACTTACCTTTTTATTTTTTCTGTTGTTGCTGCACTCGCTACACAATCCCCCTCAAAAGCAAGGTAGTCTTCCCTAGGAATTAGGAGGAGGAAAAGGAAGAAGTCTTAAGTAAATATTGTTGCTATCCTATCATTACACTTCCCATACACCTAAAATCTGAAGATCCCTGTAAGTCCAAGGAACCGCTCTCTTGCTCATTCACACTGTAATCATCCTTAATAGGAATGGGAGAAGGGAAAGCCTGAGCCTCTGCTGATGACTAACTAGAAGAAATCTTCAGCTTGCTCCATCTGGGTTTGGTGTCATGTTAAGGGCCATGTGTCGCATTAAGACCTGAGAGAGACAAAACCTCTCTCTTTAAAAAGAAATAGTGTGGAGAAAAGATTATTATGAACTCAGAGTCACTTCTGCAGATCAATTTTAGGAAAAATAAAAATAAAAAAACAAACTTTAAACAAAATTTATTATTATTTTATTTATTTATTTATTTATTTATTTATTTATTATGTATTTATTTTTTATAGTTATTCACTCTACATCCCAAATTTAGCCCCTCCTTCCTTTCCTCCAAGTCCCATCCTCTCACCCTTTTTCGTCTTCCCCCCTCCCTTCTCCTCAAAAAACGGGAGTCCCCTCCCCTTACCAACAAACCTCAGCACATCCCGTCAAATCATGGGCAGTCTTGTAAAGGAGTCAGGATAAGAATAGAAGAACCCAGAGGGGACAAGAACTCCACAAGAAGACCAACAGAGAGCTACCTAACACAGGCCAATGAAGCCTTATGGAGACTAAAACAAACGTTCCTAACGCCAGCCATAAGCATCCGTGGGAAGCTGCCGCATGCCCCAGTTTGAACTTCATGAATCTCTTCTTCACTTATATATTCGTGACCAAGCCGGCCCAACACTTTAAAAGAAAATTATGGGATCTCGGTGCTTGGAGGAGGATTACTGAACATTTCCAAAGAAGGCCTAAGGAGGCGCAGATGGTACAGCAGGCAGGCTGTGGGATCAGCATGGAGGCACTTGCTTCTAGTCTGAAATTAGTGCTACTGCAAGAAGTTCCTCTGACAAACAAAAAGTATGGAGAAAGGTTCCTGACCCTTTGCTAGTAAAACAAGTGCACCACTGTTCCGTCTACCCAGAAGATGAATGTTGCCAACTGCCTTTCCAGCGGAGGCAAGTGACAGAAATGAATGAGGCAGGGAGTGAGAACAGAGGTGGTGAGGGTCAGATGAGGGAGGAGGCATCCCTCATCCTAAGGCAGAGCCTGCTAGTGAACTCCATTCTCCTCTTGTTACAGCTTCCATTTTTCTACCTAGACATTTATGTGGAGTCTCTCAATTTCTAAGCGTGGGTAACCAACATTCTAAATAATACATTGCAGATAAACTAATGCGGTCAAAAGGTTCTACCTGGTCCGGTTGGCCATCTGCACTCCAGTGCAGTATGGTAACACTTTTTGTCTCTGGTGTTTAATCAAAGCTTGGGGCTCCTGTTTAACCCCCACTAGCCTTCAAATTCTTAGCTCTGCCACATCAGGTATTAACCATCAGCAGGTCTGGGGCAGCTCCTGGCATGAAGCCGGTGAGTTTACAGTTGCAGGGACAGCCACCTACCGTCTTAAGCTTCGTGAAGGCTGAAGGAGCTGCTTTCAGGGACCCCTGAAGAACGCCACAGATTTTTTCTCAGAACTGTAAAACATCACACATTCCAACTTCTGTGTTTTTACAACTGGCAGTAACTATTTCCTGTGGGGTAAGCAGCGCTTCGATTAGTAACTGGAACCTCCGCTGCCCAGCTTTGTTCTGGATGCCCTCATCATAACCGTGGCTTATGGGGCTCCAGGAACTTGCAGTTGAAGGAAGCACCTACCATTCCAGGTTTCAGTTTTTTCCTCTAATTCGTTCCTTAGTCTTCAGTAAACCCTGAGTTCTTTTATGAAAGATGGTATACTGTTTCAATATTGGGTCCCCCAGAGACACATGCATGTGCCGGTAATCCCAGCCCTCAGTGAGGCAGAGGCAGGGAGATCTCTCTATGAGCTTGAGGACAGCCTGGTTACAAAGCGAGTCCAGAACAGCCAAGGCTACACAGAGAAACCCTGTCTCGAGAAAACAAACAAACAAAAACAAAAATTATGTCCCCAAATTCCTTAGTTTTCCCCATTTTAAGGGATAGACTTGATTTGCTACCCAGTAGAGTATGCCATATGCTCTACTCAGTGGATGGTTCACGTGAACAGAATATGATGGTAGTTGGTTTGGGTTGGTTGTTTGCTTGCTTGCTTTCTAGTTTCTTTCTTATTTTTTCCTGGTCTCATACTGTATACCAGGCTGACCTAGAATTCACTGTGCAAACTAGGCTGGCCTCAAACTGATGGTAACCCTTTCTGCCTTAGACTCCTTACTTCTGTGGTTATACGTGTGAGACACCATTCCAGGACAAAGGTGAGGGTTAAGACTAGATCATAGGTACTTGTATTTCTTCCTCTCTCTCTCTCTCTCTCTCTCTCTCTCTCTCTCTCTCTCTCTTTCTCTCTGTGTATCTCAGGTGAGGTATACTGGCTCCTATATCCACGCCCGGAGGTTGCTGCCTGTGCATATAAGGGGAAGGCCTCTTTTGACTTGATGACCTTTTCACTTATAAGCAATCCTATTTTCCTCCCTCAACAAGTTCCCTTTGCTTGGAGAAGTGTCACAGCTATAAGGGGATATGCTCTGCTCTATTGCTTTGCTTAAACTAAGAATATGAAAAGATGATGAGACTGGGCAATCGGGGTGGCATCTCTGTCATTTTATTTCCGTCCATCTTAATTATCTGTTCCTACTAAAGAGATCGAAACTACATTTTTGCCTATTGAACTATATACTTTCATATCCCACAGGTCTTACAAATCAGGAATTCTGGAGTAGTTTAGCTGGTGGTTTTTAGTATGCCCTTACAACTACGATGTCAAATGGGGCCTAGATCTATTTGATATTCTGGCTAGGGTTGAAGAGCCACGCCCATACCCTGGGCTGTTGGCTGGGCACCCCAGTCTCTCTATTCACAGGTCTCTCTGCAGAGCTGCCTAGAGGTCCACATAACCTCTGCCTTCCTAAAGCATGTAGCAAGAGCGATTTGGGAATTTAATTCAGCCGGAGTGGCTTGCCTTGCACGCACCAACCTTGGATTCTACATACAGTAACACATGAAGCGTGAACCCCACCCTTTCCAGTTTCTGGAGTCACTTGAGGCTTCCAAAGGGCTGTGATGATGGCATCTCATCCCCACAGGGCTCTGGGTGACCGCATGCCTACACATTAGTGGCTTAAATCTTTGTTTCTGAATTGTATCCTCTTACAAATGTAAGATCTTGTCTTTGCAAAGGTAAAAACACTTCACAGAGTGTGAATTAATGGTAAGGAAGGGGTGAGAAAGGACATTTTGAGGTGTGTGGGAATGCCCTAAAGACAGGAAATGTTTAGAAGTGAAGGTATTTGCATTTAATTCTCTTTTGTGACCAAGGCAATGCTGCTAATACCATCTTAAGGAGCCCCTACCTCGCCCCTTATCTCATAAAACTGTCAAAAGAGAAAAATTTTGAAAGGCAAATCTGCTTCCCCCTTATGACATTTGGCCTAACTTGAGATATCCTGGGAACAAAAAATTTGCATGAATCTACATAGGCATTAAAAGTATGACCCTGCAATGATGAGCCAAAGCACAGTTACATTACAGCTTGCATATTTATTGAACAAATATTACTAAAATAGCTAAAATACATTGGGTACTTATGAGAGCAACAGTAAGGACCACATGTTACAAAAGCCTGCGTTTTCAGCAGTGCACAGCTGGAACTCTACATAAATGCCACAAATGCACAATACTGTTTTCTTGCTCTATTTACATAGCTGATATATCTATCCTAACAAAGGTGGGGGTGGGGAGGATGCACAAGAAACTCAGGCCAGAGGGGGAGCGAGGAGAGAACGAAGAAATACAGTGCATGCGTCATTGGTGTTTTAACAGTCGAAGCGCAAACAGTTCAGAACAAGGCCTGCCCTGTCAAAGGAAGAGCTAAAGACGTATATAAAAATTAAGGTGGGCTTTCAGTCTGGCTAACACAACAACATTCCGTGGAGAGATGGCATTATCGGATTTTATTTTTGTTTATATCCATTTCATTGGGAGCAAGGACAAAAATGTAAAATCTACACCTTGCTTACCAAAACTTCCCCCCAAAAAAAGGTGTTTTGCCTTTCATCATCATCATCATTTTTGTAAAAACACTTTTCCAACTTCAACTTTGGGAAAGGTATAATTTTCAAATTCCTACTCAGATGCCAGTACTTTGGATTTTGTTTTTTCCACATGGCACTTATTAAAAAATAGTGGACCTTTACTCCCCCTAAATATCCAGTTAAACGAAAAGAATCCAAAGAGACACCTCAGAAATGCCTGGGGAATTATTGCTTTTCTTTTTCTAAGTCAGGCAGGTGAGGCTGCGGAAAGGAAGAGTTCTGGTAGGTAAAATTACAGTTTTGTGATTGCTCCCGCTACCATGACTGCCAGTCCACCAGGGCCGGCCACGAGAGGACAGCCTCTCACGCTCCTGGTAGCATCCACTCAACCTACGACGCTGAAGAAGAAAGCCACACTGAAGACACAAGGAAAACAAGTCAATCCAGTCTAGAGAACAACGTCCGGGGAAACAGAGTACCAACACCTTCTTAGAACATGGAAATAAAAAATAACTCCATCAGAGCTACCTCGCCAAGGAGCATGTTGAAAAGTCCAAAATAGCACCATTCATCAGTGTCTCAGGTCCTGTGGCAGCATCTCAGTCACTTACCACGAGGAAACGATGAGTTTCAAACTACTTCTATACATCAAAAGAGTACATGGGTAAAATATAGAGATATACAGACAATTGATGAACATAAACTACTAGGCTTGTTACATCTAAATGAAAAAATAAAAGTGTTGGGGGGGGGGACTCTCAGCCTCTGCAAGAAGCAGTCGGGAGCTGTAATGATGAAAGGCAGGAGTGGACCGGTCGTGTGTGCGCAGTGGGAGTTTGAGTTGTGGAAGACATTGCTGTAGCGAACCAGGCCTGAAGGCCCACCTGGAGGGGTTGTAAACGTGGATTCACAGTGTGAAATTCTGAGCGTTTTCACTTGAGTCAGAATGGTTTAAAAACTGGTTTGATGATACCTATTTGTCCACTGTAAATTCTCTAAAGCAAGGCTTAGAGTCCCATAGTTTCTTCTTATAGTTGATGATTTACACAGAAAAAAAAAAATCCCATATATGATACCAAGACCTCATCAAAACCCCATACACCATATGTAATACAAATGGAGGTGTTACAATTAAAAACAGTGGAGGTAACTGGCGTTTGGGAAGCAGAGTTGGTGGCTGCCCGGTGGAGTCAGGGCAGCAGCACTGGTCTCATTGGTCTTCTTCCGGTTCACTTCCTTTGGCACAGGAAGTCTTCCCTGCAGGTTGTACACAGACAGAAGAGACAGACAGACACACACAAAGATACACTTATTCACACTTTTAAAGCCATTTTTAAAGTTTCTTGAGTCTCCTACCTACGTCTTATCCTTGAAATTTTGCTATTTTGCAAACAGTTTAGATATTAACAATATTCTCTTGAATGTAAATATTAGTCCAAGGAGTGATGGAGCAATTGAAGACCAGCTTTCCTCTGTTTGTGTAGAGTCAAGTGTTTCTCTCACTGTGGTGGTATTATTCCTCAGAGTCAGACTTCTGGAGACAGTTGCTAATACTAGACAGGACCCAGGATTGAGCTGGGTTAGGAGTACACATAAAAGTGCCAATACATTTTTAAATTTTATGAGTGTTTGTCTGTGCATATGTATGTGTAAAACATGTGTGCCTGGTGTCCATAGAGGCCAGGAGAGGGCATTGGATCCCTGAAACTGAGTTACAGATGGTTGTATACCAACAGGTAGGTTCTAGGATCTGAACCCAGGTCCTCTGCATGAACAGAAAGTGTTCTTAACCACAGAGCATATATATAGACCCATGTACATATTTCAAAATTTTTCAATGAGTGATCTGATAGAAGGCTGACAGTAGTCTATTTTCCATTACACACCAAAAAATACTTTAAAATATATCACAATGCATAAGTTTTCTCTATGTGAGCTTTACTCCATAAGCAATTGGCACACTTCATACATATGCTAATGGTCAGAATTAAAATGGTACCCAAGATGGAAGTGTCTGAGGGTTACACAATGTACAGGAATCCCATTTAGCAGCTGGAGAAAAGAGCTAGGAACAAGAGGATCAGAGGCTCAGGCAGCCCAGAACTCTGAATCCAGGACTCCTCATATCTCTCCTCATGCAGTTGATGATCAGCCTGACTGATGGCTGATGACCACCGCCACGCTGTTCTGCTGACACACAGAAGGAGGCTGCCAGGATTGCAGCCTCCATCAGAACCAAGCAGCAAGAGGGCAGGACACTGGGGCCTGCTGGACAACTGACATCAAAGTCTCAGTTCATAAAAGAAGAAAGATTGTGTGTCCCATTCACACACGCTCACACAGTAAAGATGAGGGTCTTTTTTAATTAAACCATTAATTTTGGGTACTTTCTTAGGGAAAAAAAAAAGCCTTTGTAGTTTTTAAGTATTTGGGTTTAAAGCAATGGAAGTACTATGCAGTTGGGAAAAATATTTCAACCTTGAAATTTTGATATACAGCACACAAGTTAGAAAAAAAAAATCCACTGATATTTACCAAGGAATGTCACCATCTCATCTGACCAGTTAGCGTGGCCTTGAAGCTGTTCCAAAGTCAGCACACTGCTGTACCTCAGCTGATGAGACTCAGTCCCACTAACCTTTGACCTCCATGAGAAACACACATAAAATGAAAACTGAAAGCTAGGAAAGAGCTGTCTCCCAAAAAAACAAAAACTGGAGTATTTCAGATCTGAATCTAGTACTTTTCTGTGTGTGTGTATACATATATATATTTACATATATGTTTATATATGTTACATATTTATATATATGTTTATATATGTTACATATATATATATATATATATATATATATATATATATATATATGGATTTTAACTCTACAGAGAGAAACAGAAACAAAAATAGTCTCAACCCAATCTGCCCTTAATTAACTTGATCTATGGGAGACACTGAAGTAACATGGACAAGAGACCATGCAGCAGGTCATGTAGAGGCAGGCTACTGAAATATCCGAGGCCTATAAACTAAAATACCTTCAAAAGGGAGGAACTTCCAGAGAGACACGGCTCTCTGCACCTCCTTTTTAGAGCCTGGATATACTAGATCACAATCTTTTTCTTTGACTACCACTGTTTTGTGTTAAAGAATCGTCTGTCTCTAATATGCCTCATCTCCCCCAAAGTAAGGCCTTCTGGTGGTGGAAGCCAAACAGTCACCATTCTCCATCATCCACACAATTCTTGTGAGACAGAGGGACCTGAGTAATCTAGACTCCTGAGGACGGACGGCAAGCAGAGGTGCTCAGGGCCCACAACAGGCCTGCTCGGCCAGATGGATGGCGCTCCTTCTGGGGGCTGCTAGCCTAGTCCCAGCTACTAAGTAATGCGCTCTGGACCAAGTAAATTGAGATTATCTTTCAGGCAGGAATGCAAAGGTATGCTTTTCCAGAAGTTTCCTTCTGGGAAAAGGACAGATATATCATGCTTAAAACACTACTTCATATTTAGAGAAGATATGACAAGAAGGTTCCTACAACTTACTGTGCCCACGGCAGCATGATTTTACTGTAGGCAAGGAGCGAAGGCAAGGACCACTGACCTCAGTGAAATTCACTGAGGAACTTCATTTGGTCTCACCCACTTAGTTGATATTGCCAGTATCGAGAAGGGATGTGGGGAGGTCTGACTGAGGTAAGAGTTAACTATACTGTTTCTTTTTCATCCTTAGCAGCATCAGGGGAATTATGCCCGGATTTGTCCCAGAAGAGAATGTCTAGGGACACAGATACGCATGCATGTGCATAAATAATTTTAAAGGGTCAGGCATGTAGCCCGGTGGCAGAATATGTGCCGAGCACGCATTCCATCTACAGCATCATTGAAATGATAATGATAACAATGATAATGAGGAGGAGAAGGAAGGAGTGAGGTGGCAGCAAAGGGTTAGCTCCTGTCCTCCAGTCCTTTCCCACCCCAGCTCTGCAAGACTAGCACAGGTTTACTTCCATCAGGTCCCACCAATTTGTGGTCATCTGGAAAAGCCTCAACGTGACCTTCAGAAATTCTCTCTAAAAGACTAAGAACGACTCAGGATTGCTTTCTTTCCATGCCAACTGCCAGGTGACAGGGCTGCTTTACTGTAAATGAGTTCTTCTCATGCAAGAAAACGACAACAATATGACATCTGGGTGGTGCCACTGTTCAAGGACATGAAATGTTGATTTTTTTAAAAAATATATTATTTTATGCATATGGATGTTTTTCCTGAACGTGTATCTGTGTACCAGGAGCACGTAGTGCCCACGAGGCCAGAAGAAGGTGTCAGATCCCCTGGAACAGGAGATGTGAGCCATCATGTGGGTGCTGGGAATCAAACCTTATCCTCTGATAAATAGGCACCATCAGTAGCCAACATTTCCTACTGAGGAGAAATCCTCATCACCCACCCTTAACTTACCTTCTTGGTTTTGTTTTTGGGTTGATCACTGATATTTGAATTTAAATTTGCCTAACCAGGATCGAAACAAATTTAAAATCCGTCAAATGCACATTTGACACGCCAATTCAATGATTCTTAAATGGAAATTTGCTTCTGTCGCAAGAAAAAGGTATCAGGAATGGTAACAGTCCTAAGACTTCTGTCTGTGGGGTGTTTGCGTACTGTTTTGTTCTTTCTGTTGTTGCCTTGCTTGTTTTGAGATATAGTCTCATTATCTAGTCCAGGCTAGCCTCAAATTTTCAGTAATCCTCCTGCCTCAGCCTTTGGGTGCTAGCATTATAGGTATGTGCCATTAAGCCCAGCTCTAGGTTATGTTTTCAAAACTATGTTATTTCCAAATCAGCACATTAGTAGATTGTTATGGGATTATACAATGGCTATTAAGGTGAAAATGAAATAAGGAACTTAAGGAAATGATTTATTTCCTTATGTCTGTTTATGCTCCAAACTTGAAAATAGTGTTTACAAACAGCAGCTAGGCCTCTCACCTTAGTAAGACTTCCCTCCATTGCCTTGTATGGAAATGGTTCTTGGCTGACCCAGACCAAGAGTTCCGGGTAGTAAACCTGTGGAGACATAAAAGCACACATGTTCAAGACACAAACAAGATCTGGCCTGAAAGCACAGGACCTCAGTTCTCCAGGATCTTCCTAAGCTTGCTTCTCAGAGCACCAGGAAACTCATTAGACTTTTCCAAACATGCACTGCACCCAGGAGAACTTCAGCTCATCTTCCAAGATGGGGTCCAACAGAGCAGAGATATCAATCAACGTTATTTTAGCTGGCAAAGTGGCAGCTTAATGGCCTGTCTGGCAGGGTGTACCAAGTCACCATGGACAGCTTTCAAAGCATCTTATGTTCCATGAGTACCCTTGCAAACCGCCATGTTTATGACATAAACGTTCAGGTAGTCATCAACGCTGTTAGGAATTATCTGTCCTTTACCAGAAGGTTACAGAATAGACACAGGGCAAAGGAGGGTGTCTTTCATGCTCTCCGGCTCCATGCAGCCACTCATGCCACACTGTACCCAGCTCCCTAAAACAGCAGAGTATCTGAGAGAGAGAGAGAGAGAGAGAGAGAGAGAGAGAGAGAAGCTGGGCAGCTGTGCAATGAATGATTCAGATAATAAGAGTTGATGAATTCTGAGGGTGGGAGGAGGTAGAGGGAGGGAGGCAAGCTGAGTAAGTCTTCTTTAAATATACAAAGGGTTATTTGCATAAGGTTGCTGACCAGCTGTTCTCTATTTCCAGAAAGCAAAATGGGGAGGGGAGGCTTAAAATTACAAATAGCAGATTTAGGTCAGCTATAAGAAAGAACTTGGCACAAGAATTGTTAAATTACTAAAAGAATTTAGAGTGGAAAACTGTGAAATCTTCTTTAAAAAAAAAATTTAGAAACAGAATCCAACAACCATCTGTCAGAGCTAATTCATTTGATACAGCAGCACCTTAAGTGAGGGAAAGAAGTTAGAGGAGACTCTTTCCAGATCTAAGCTCTGGAAATGAACCTCCTATACAGTGACAATTTAGAGGCACATCTCATTAACAAATGGACTCAAGGGCCATTTTCTGCAATGGCTAATATTTTATACGTCTCCAACAATCTAGTTGCTTCAGGGTCTGAAGCAGGAAATGGTTCTCGTGTTCATTCTCCGGGATAACACACTACAGCAACCATCTTTGCTATTCTATCAGGAATGCTTACAGAGCAGCACAGCTCACAAAGCAGCCACATACACTATTTAATCTATCCTGGCAGGAGGCCTATAAATAGGAATATTTTCATTACACAGATGAGAGAAGGGAAACCCAGAAAGGTCAGGACAACTTGCCCAGAGCAACACATTGTGGGTCAGGACTGTGACTCAAAGGAGGCTCCTCTTCGCTTCAGTACACTGAGTCTCCCATCAACCCCTAAGGCAGAGTGTCTCTTCTCTACCATCCCTCTCTCAAAACAACACCAACCCATGGCTACCGCCCACTTTGGGCTCTTATGTATTTAAAGGATCATCTTGTAAGGAGTGGAACCATTTCCTCTCCTTGGGGAGCGGTTGCTTTCTGAGGCTTGTTCCTCCCTCCAGGGTGCCCCACCTTCCTTTCAGTCTCCCCTCCTCTGCCCAGATCCTTCCAGAAGAACCATACCATCTGCCTTGTTTGGGACAGGCAGCCAATCCTGGCATTCTCTTCAGCCAGAAAAGAGGGAATGAAATTACAATCTAAAATAAATAAGCTTTTTGGTTTGTTTGTGTGTTTGTGTGTTTGTTTGTTTGTTTGTTTCAGGGCACATAACAAAACCAAAACACATAAAATCCTAGTTTAGCTTAATATCCTCACTTTGACCCCAAACTGAGGTCAGGAATAAGTTCACTTAATATAACTGACCTCAGCGGATTGATCACTTTTCAACATTATCACTACAATTCTTCTCCTCCTCCTCCTCCTCCTCCTCCTCCTCCTCCTCCTCCTCCTCCTCCTTCTCCTCCTCCTCCTC